ATAAAACGTTAATGGGAAGCTACACCTGCTGATTTGTTATTAAACATTGCAAGGTCCTTTTAATATAATTTTACGGTACCCATATAAGAACCATATTTTCGTCTATAATACTGAAATAAACATGTTTTTTTTTTCTCTTATTCAAATTCATTTCTAAATAAGAATTTTTTAAAAAAAATTTTCTTTACATTTTATACTATTACAAACTCAACCTTCATAACTCTTACAGGCAGGGTATGATTTCCTTTTTTAAAAATTACCAGCAAAGTTTGCTAGGGCTAAAATAAATCTCGTAAAAAAAATCAGGATTCATACTCGTGCTTAATAAATTGGCATTGCATTATATTTTGTTATGCAAAAAATGTAACTAAATGGTTACTTAAAGGGATTATCTGTTTAAATTCGCAGAAAAGTTCAAATAACATTGCATTTGCGTTGTTTTCATGTTTATCTAGTTCCATCATATAAATTTGGCACATTTAACAAATTACAAGATTTTTAATTTTTTTTTTTACTGACGCAGTTTTGGTAAAAATAACCATTATATTACGAGATGGTCGAAAAAACGATTGCAAAACGACCTGAATTTATGAGGGAATCGAAAACAAACAGACTGCAACTAGTCTACAAGACCATAAGAGATTACCAGCAACCTTTGCAAATGCGTTTTCCTGTTAATTGATTTTTTTTTAACTGGCACTTTGCTGCTTACCAGTCGTCGAAATTGCGCCCTGCTTACAAGAAAGGAATTTTTCGTTTTAAAAGCTTTTCTTACATAATTATCTAAAAATATTGAAATAAATCTGTTTTCTAATTCTACAATTTTTTGAGTGAGTTCTGAAATGAACAAATCACAACCTAGTATTTAAAAAAATATGTTGAATAAAGTTCTTATAGAACAAGCAAAACTTTCCTCTGAATTAAATCATGATTGACGACACGTACAGAACATATATATAATATGTTCTTATGTCAATTTTTCTTTTATTATTTAATCACATTCTCTCTAACACCCTTTTTTCAATAGATTGGTAAGAGAATTAATTTATGGAAAAAAAAACTTGTTCAGATTCAGTTTTTGGAGCCCTGGACCCATCCTTAAAAACCACTCTGCATGATTATAAGCAATCATTAGATACGATTACGAAAAATTATGATCACATTTATCGTCATTACAATCGTAATATTGAGATGCTTGTAATCAGTTACATTTTGCGCAACCCTGTATTCTAGCTCACACTACCAGATCCTATCAATGTCTTACATTTAAATTAGCACTTTTTAAATAGAACAAAAGGAAGATACTTACGTTTTACATAAAAGTGATCAGGATAATTTCAAAGGCACGAACATATTCATACCTCCTACTGAAGCTAGCCTCACAATCGTTTACCTTAATATCTCTATCGGCAGATGGTGGCCATATCTCATACAAGCGCAACGCATTTGTCAGTTGTGGAATTTCAACGGACTAAACCGTCGAATAGTTGAGAAAGTTTTCGATCGAAAATTGTATTGTTTCTAATAGACAAAATCGTTTAATGTTTTCAGTTTAATATGAGGTATGATCGATTTACGCCTATAAATAAAAATAAGTGAATGCTAATTCGTTGTCATCGCATTGTTAAGGATTAAGTACTATTATTTTGTGCATCCTATGTATACTCTTTTTGTCATTTTCGTTAGCGTATCAAACTTTAGAATCGAATTCGGATAGTTTTTAAATACAATTAAAATGAATTATCCGAAGTTTGATATTATCTTCCTATAACTAATTAAATTTCTTTGTGATCATCCAAATAAAACAACTAGATAATTTGTAATATGATTTTTTTTTCCTCACTAAAGTACTCGTTCTTCGCTTTGGAAGAAGCCGGAAGTGTTGCTCATTTAACGTTACCCGATGGGCACCCGTGAACCTAAGTCACGAAAGCGAGTTACATTACTCACACCAAACTGCCACAGACACGTTCAAGAGGTGAGCCACATGCACGCATCACAACACACAGAGAGAAACGTCCATGCTCTGAGCGGGATTCGAACCCGCAACCGTTGGCTTTGCAGTCAGGCAAGCTGACCGCTCAACCACTTGTAAATTAATATAACTGTGGGATACGTTTCCTACTATATTTATAATTGTAAACCAATGTTTTGCTAAGATTTTTTCCTTTTTGTTAAGATTCAACTTTCCTAAATACAAGATATTAACTGGGTAACTTAAAATTATTTTAAGTAAAGTAAATATTGAGAGAATAAAAGTGTTAAATAGCGTAATTGCATTTTTACCCTTATTTTATTCCAACTTAGAGCATAAATGTGTTTTACANATGGGCTATTGGCGACGGTCTGGGAAACATCCCGGAGGATGATCCGAAGACATGCCATCACAATTTTGATCCTCTGCGGAGGGGATGGCACCCCCGCTTCGGTAGCCCGACGACCTGCGCGCGAAGTCGAGCACTCTACGGTAGCACAGTTTAACGAGGACCAATACCGCACACCCTCGGTACAATTGTAAACCAATGTTCTGTTAAGATTTTCTTCTTTTCGTTAAGATTCAACTTTGCTAAATACAAGATATTAACTAGGTAACTTAAAATTATGAGCGTAATTGCATTTTTATCCTTATTTTATTCCAACTTAGAGCATAGATGTGTTTTACAATCAAAATATATTTATGTGCATACTTAAACTTTAAAAGTCAACTTACTCACTCCTAATGCCACTAAATATCAGGGGTACAGGGGAAAAGATTAGTGAGAGAGCAGCCTGTGTCATTTAGTTTTTTTGATAAAAATTCCATTTATTGTCAATTATAGGGGGGAGGGACTCCTCTTTACTCTTTAAGGCATACATTAAAATTTCAATTTAATATAATTTTATCCTTGTGATGCATCGATTTTAGCATAACTTTGTTAAAGATCAAATTTTCGCACCAAGTTTATAATTTTATTGGTAATTACTTAAATATTTTTAGAGCATATTATTCTACTATTATAGTTACCTCTTAAATTTCTATTTTTTAAATAATAATTTTTTTTTTAAATCATGTAAAGGCCTGAAATTAAAAGTTTCAAATATTTAAAAAATTCTGCTTAGTATTGTAAATTTAATTAAGGCAGATTATTTTAGTGAAAATATTTAATCTTCTCTATTTTACATTTATATTCGAAAGTAAACAAAACTAAACATAAAATAAAATTTAATACATTCATAACAAATAAACAATGAACAAAACAATATATATATCATCATCTTCTTCAACATTTATCACTTCAATGCTGGATAAAAGTCTTTACAAACTTTTTCAAAAATTTTGATCCACTACTCTCGCCATCCAAATTACACTGTCCTTACCTTTTTTTTTTTAATTTTAATTCGCCATCATGTTTACAGTCACTTCTTTAGTTGTTTGATAATAATAATACAATAATTAAATAATACAATACAATTTTCATAATAATTAAAAAAAAGATCTGAATCATTTTAACAATAAAAAACTTCGAACTAATTACTAAAAATGGAAAATCATTTTTTATGAGAAACACACTTTATTTATTAAAAAGCAATAAGTATTTAGCGAACAGTAAGATGAGTATAATAATCTATTTTGATAGGGATTTTTTAAGCAACTTATTCAACTAAATAAAATTTTTAAAATGTACAAAAATCAGAAGAATTTTTGATTATGATTAAATTAAGAGCAATTGCAAAGTCAAGAGTTTCTGAGGAAAATCTGATAGAATAGACACCATACTTTCACCTCTTTAAAGAATTGCTCTCTTTTAAAATTTTGATTTACCATAATAAGAACAAAAAATTAATACTGTGAAAATTATTTTGAAGATATTTTTATGACAGAATTTCTATATCAACAAAAGTTCTTAACATGGGTAAAAAAAATTATAGATTCCTAAAAGTTAATATATTATGGAACAGAAAAATAAAATTTTCGCAAAAATTTTTGAACAATAATGTTTATAAATATCAGGGTTCGTTGATTTAAATCAGCTTGATTTAAATCACGATTTAAATCATGATTAAAATCAAATGATTTTTTTAAAAAAATCATTGATTTAAATCAACTGATTTTTATATATATATTATATTGNAAAAATTGCATGCCTTCTAAAAGTGGTTGCAAATAATACAAGGTGTTGCTAAATTACCAGTGATTCAAAATTCATTCCAAGGAACACAAGAATGCAGAAATAAACAGCTTCTTACATTCTGCTTAGGAAACCAGTTGACTTATTCTCAACAAGTTTTAAAGTTGATTAGCAAAATAATGCTGGTGAGTGGAAAAACGATAAAACAGTATTTTTTTGTATGTCAGACAAAAACCGTTTCACTGCCATCTACTAATTTTGCCACCTGACTATGCCACAATGCTGACAAAAATTAGTGTCACTTTTATATATACATAACAGGAATTGAACAGCTGGCCCGATTCTGAGTTGTCTACTATCTATATTGAACTCCACAGCCTTGTAATTTTTAACCCAATCAAAAACCCAACTCAAAAGACAAGGTCACGCCTGGATTAAGCTTTGGGGCAAACTAGCCTTCGAGGGAAACTTTTTAATGGAACTTATCTGCATTTACGTTATAAGGGAGAAAAACCACTAAAGTCTCCCACAGTTAGCCCGACATCAAGGGGATTCTAACCCATGATCCGTCCACCACTAAGGATATTTTTCATTTGCACTGTAGTCAGTGAGATCCAGGAGCAGACTTCGTATTAATCAGCCACCGCTGAGAATAAAACCTGGGTCGCCTCATTTAAAAGAGAATGCTCAATCCCCTAAACCACTGTGGCCATGGTGGTTACTTAAAAATGTTGTTTTAAACATTTTGATGTTTATTTTAAATACACAGGGTTTCAGATTTTTCTTAGACTGAAATGCCATATGTTTATGAACTTTTTAAGCAATTTGAAAATTTTTTAGAATAAATTCTAGTTTCTTAGACAGAAGGCAGCAAACAAAACATTTCATAAATAGAAAAACAAACAGAAATCTTTTATAAATCAGGAAACTGATCAGACAATCCAACAGAATTATGCATTCCACATTTCGCACCTGCAATTTTGCACCCTGTAGTGATTGCTTCAGCTAAATCCTGACCTTTCATTAGAGCGATAATAGTTGCAGCAACAAAGGTGTCGCCTGCACTAAGCGTATTAACTAACTTCGATGGGGGGAAAGCAGGAGATGTCACAACAGGTCCAGCAGCAGATCGTGCAGCAGCCCCGTGATCGCTCCAAGCACATATTATAGATGCCCTGAGAATAGAGAATTACTTTATTATCACAAGAGTGATTAATAAATATATACTTATAACATCATGCAATTTTATTAGAGGTTTCTCAAAGAAAAAATAAATAAATATTCTAATATGATTAAAAATATATTAAATTTTTTTATATATATATAAAACAGAAAACAGTATATAAAAACAAACAGAAAAATTACAATCATTAATACAGCAAGTTTAACACTATTAGCAAGCTTAAGTATTTGCGTTGTAGTTGCAGTTAATTTACGTTGCCCTAGAGCTGCACGATGGGCTATTGGCAACGATCTGGGAAACACCCCTGAGGTTGATCTGACATGCCATCACAATTTTGATCCTCTGCAGAGGGGATGGCACCCCCGCTTCGGTAGTCCGACGACCTGCATGCGAAGTCGAGCACTTTACGGTAGAACAGTTTAACGAGGACCAATACCGCATACGCTCGATCCCTACGCAGACTGATCCAAGTGGTCACTAACCATAGCCAGTGATGCTTGACTTTGGTGATCTGCTGAGGTCTTTGTGTTGAAATAAATGAAATTAGATATACATTAATGGAGATTAGAGGCTAATGACATAATTTTGTGCCCAAATTTCTATTAGAGAAAGCAATAGTTTTTCTATTTTGATGGGGCCTATTAATGGCATCAAAATAGTTGTTTTTTATTAATTTATTTGTAGTTGCTGCTTTCTGGTATAAATATTTCAGCACAAAGAAAACACTCTTATTTTTCAATCTCTTTTTGGTAATATTTTTTGTTTTGATATTTTTTTGTGTTTTGATATTTTTTTGTGTTTTCTTATTTGATCTTTTCTGCATTTGGTGCAGAGGTTTGCCCAGTTGCAGGAGGAGGTTTTGACAGGTCAGTCTTAAACGTTTTCTTCAACACAAGGTCTATGGAAAATATTCTGCGCCTCCTAAAAGCGGTTGCAAATAGAGGAGCTACACAGAGGTGGTCTTTCCTGGAGGTTTCAATGTACAGTACAGAACCCGTTATCCGGAAATCAGAGAACCGGTAATCCAAAAAACCGGAACAAAATTTGATAAATTTTCTCGCCATTTAAAAAAAAAAAAAAATTTTTTTCTTCATAAGATTTTACGATTTTTCTTTCTTTTTTTAAAGATGTTTACCTTACCATCATTTTGGAAATAATCATTAGTGTATTATTTCATCGATTTTTCTTATTTTTAAGATTATTTCCAAATTTATTTTTTTTTAGTTGGGTTTAACAATAAAAAAAAACGGTTTTTTGTAGCGATTCAGAAAACCGGAAAAATCAGTTATCCGGAATAGCGATGGTACCGACCGTTCCGGATAATCGGTTCCCTACTGTATTTGTTTTAGTACGGAAATGACTATTTGTCTCTGTTGACTATACAGTTTTTTCTCCCAGATGTTGAACATTATTTAATTTTTCAAATAAAGATTTTTTACAAACAACAACTTTACAATCAACTCATTTCTTGTACAGCATATTGGGATATTTATTGTTAAAAATAGTTTTTTTCAGCAACCAATCATTTTCCATCCCAATGATTAAATTCTAATAAAATAAAAAAAAAACAATATAATTTGCCATTTTTAAATTTAAGAAACATTAGAGCTGCTTTGCCCAACAAGAACAAAGAAAAAATAGTCAAAATATTCATATTAATTTTTTTATAAATATTACCAGTGTACCATATATTAAAGTGCAAAAAATCAAACTCATTTTTAATATTAATATATTAGATGATTGTTGTTGTTACTTTACGTCGCACTAGAGCTGCACAATGGACTATTGGCGACGGTCTGGGAAACATCCCGGAGGATGATCCGAAGACATGCCATCACAATTTTGATCCTCTGCGGAAGGGATGGCACCCCCGCTTCGGTAGCCCGACGACCTGAAAGACTTGTTGCGAGACAGTAAAACAGAAAACAGTATATAAAAACAAACAGAAAAATTACAATCATTAATGCAGCAAGTTTAATACTATTAGCAAGCTTAATTATTTGTGTTGTAGTTGCAGTTAATTTACGTTGCCCTAGAGCTGCACGATGGGCTATTGGCAACGATCTGGGAAACACCCCTGAGGATGATCTGAAGACATGCCATCACAATTTTGATCCTCTGCANCAGAAAAGCACCAAAGTTATATAAAACAAAAAACGATTAAGGACTTTTTTTTAAGTAAAAACTCTTTAATTCTCGCAAAGTATACTTTTTAAGTTTTTTCTAGTAAGCTTTTTAATAATAATAGGAATTATATGTGGTATACTCGTATAAATTTTATATTTCTTAAATATATTACATTTATACCAACTCTTTTTCTTTCTTTTTTTATACTCTTCGTTTTAACCGAGTTTTTCAGTTATCCGAGTTAGTCGTGGTCCACATTAACTCGGATAATCGGGACTCTAGTGTATTTGTTTTAGTACGGAAATGGCTATTTGTCTCTGTTAACTATACAGTTTTTTCTCCCAGATGTGGAACATTGTTTAATTTTTTAAATAAAGATTTTTACATACAACAACTTTACAATCAACTCATTTCTTATACAGTGTATTGGGATATTTATTGTTGTTAAAAATAGTTTTCTTCAGCACCCAATCATTTTCAATCCCAATTATTAAATTCTAATAAAATAGTAATACTAACAATATAATTTGCCATTTTTAAATTTAGGAAACATTAGAGCTGTTTGCACAACAAGAATAAAGAAAAAAATAGGCAAAATATTCATATTAATTTTTTATAAATATTACCAATGTACCATATATTAAAGTGAAAAAAATCAAACTCATTTTTAATATTAAAATATTAGATGAAATTTATGGTGAAAAGCTTTAGCAATAAGCAAAAAATAAGTTAAAAGGCTATTTTTACATCAACAATTACCTTCAAAATTAAATATGAGAAACATACATCCCTTTAATACAAAGAAACATCTAATATGTTTCTGATTACAATACACAAACTTGGTTACTTGAAATTCTTCCAACATTGTTACAAAAAGTGTTAAATACAATAGTAAAAATTTTACTGCATTTTGGTAGTGATTCTTAAAATCATTTTAAATTAATCTTCCTAATTCAATAGATTTATAAATACAAACATAGTTATTACTAAAAATATTATAATATTTGACAAACAATATTGTACATGATTTATAAAATACAATTTAAAAAAATTGTTGCATAAAATAGAATTTCAACATAAAGCTGTCATTATTTTCACAGATATCCTCAAAATAATTAGTTTAATAAAGCATTAAGCAATCTTAGCTTACCCAGATTTAATTTTATGATGAAGTTCCTCAACTGCTGATTTCATGTCACTGTAACCACAAGCCTGCGCAAAATCTTTTGAGATGAATACGAAATCTCCAAGATTGAGGAGTTCTAGTAATTCAGTTTTAGGTTTCTCTACTTCAATCGATACTAGTATCGGTTCATGAGATATTTCAGAATTCCATAATTGAATGTAGTCTATAATAAGCTTTATTTGATCATACTGTGGGCGGATCTACAAAAGAAAAATTAATAATATTGCCAACAAGTTGAACCAACAAAAAGTTTACTTATGAATATATGAAACTCAATGTTTTTCTAGTTGGACCTATAACTCGGAAACTTTATGCAAAATTTTGCATCCCTTTTATCTTAAAATGCAAATTTATACTTACTTTTAATAATAGTTAGGATTTTTTTATGTTCCATTCAAACAATCATATCTTATAATAATTTTTAATCACTTGTTTTTAAAAGCACAATTTAACATCAGTAGTTAAGGGTTCACATGAAAACAAAACACAGGTCCTAGACCCCACAAGGCTCAATAGTTCCATCAAGCCAAAAAGTAATGTAAATAAATAGAGGAAAATATTTGTCATTGAGTTCCTAATAATTTTTTTGACAGTAAAAAACCTGCAAAAAATCTAAAATTTTCATTTTTAAAAATAAAAAAATACAGGTACTAAAAAATACTGTTTTTTAATTTGCTGGTTTTTCCTTGACCAAAAATTATTTCTGTTGCTCAAAACAAAAACAAAAAAACAGAAAAAGGAAGAAAAAAAAGACAGAAAAAACTTAAATTTTTTTTAATGACTTGGGGATTAATATGGTTAATATGGTAAACTATGGCAAGACCTAATTTTATAGAAGAAGAGAAACAAAGCAACTATTTTTAAAATGTATAATGCAGTTTTGTATTGAAATAATATATTGGCAAAAAAAGATTCAACATTTGATTTTTACATCAATGTTACATATATATTCACATCATAGTAATACATGCATGAACTTATTCATAACTCATGAGAACGTCATAATAATACACGCAAGAATCATTGTAAATAATTTTATAAATCAAACGTAAGACATTTATAACTTATTACAGAAGAAAAAATGTAACGAAGTAATTCAGGGGCTTTTAGTCTTTCAAGAAAGTTCTTTTGATAAATTGTACCAGTTGGCAGAACTTACTTATCAAAAATCATTCAGACTATGTTTACTTAAAATAAAACAAGGTATGGTGTTATTTAAATTTCTGATCAAGAAATTTTACCAAATCATATAATTTCATTTAAATTTTACAAACTTCAAATTGAAAAGTTTTATTTCTTCGTACATTTACTATACAAGTATATTTATTTATATTTGCTTTATTTACTTACAAGTATATTAAGTATGTTTACTTTTATAGTAAATTTTAGTATATTTACTTTAAAAGTTTTATTGTGTTATAATGACTGACCTTACATTATAAAGAACATTTTTGTCTGAATGACAATAGCATCAAACAAACCTTTATTATGTATTAAAAACTATGTAGCACCAGAGTTTTAAGAAATGAAATATAATTCATATATTGAAATGTATAAAAGGAAACTAAAAATACATAAAACAGTTTAAAATTAATAAGTATTGATTTAATTAAAACAGAAAACAATGTCTGAAAAAATGACAAAAATTATCTGGGATATCTCATTAGAATCTAATCTGAAATATTCGATAAAATTAATCTAATCTAATTACCTCAAAATGAATCCAATTGTAATTATTCAGATTCAATAGTTTAAAATCTTCTATAGAAACTTCTGGCATACCTCTATAATAAGTTACATATTCATTTAATTATTTTGAAATTAATAAAAATAAAGATCCCTTACTTTAGAAAGTATACATACTTATTAGAATGAACAATTGTACGAGATCCATTTTGAGAATTTATTAAAATTATGGATGTTGGACTTTCAAATTCTTCATAGAGATGGCAATTTTCATAAGATATGTGGTGCTTTTCAAAATCCTTTTTCATGAATCTATAAGTAAATATACATACATTATTTTTTTTAAATAAAAACATAACTGATAAGAAATTATTAATCAAGAATGACTTAATATATTCTTGAAATATTTAAAAAAGAATTAAAGTTTCACCTTTTCAATTAAAACTTACAAATAGAGGAAAATCAAAGATAAAATTTTAAAAATTAATATAAAAGGTTTTTTCTCAGTAATCAAAATACGTATTTAGGTGAAGTTATAAATTTTGCTTATTAAGTTTACTTTAAAACAGCTGTTCTGTAAGCACCAATTTATATAAAAAGTAATGAGAAGCTATTCTAAGCTTTGATATTTAGTTTTCAGTTATTTTTATAAGATCTTTTAAATGATTTTTAGTTGTTGAGAATTATGAAAGCTTCTAACGAAAAACGTCTGACTACATAACATTTATTATTCATCTGTTTCATATGTTCAGGGAACAAAAAATCGAATACATACTATCATAGACGATTAATTAATGTATTACAAATACAATTAATGTAAATTTAAGTCAGAGAAGTTGGTATTTCTGATTTTTTGGGTCACAAGGTCATAATCATGTAGGAGAGAAAGACAGGACCAACTCTCCAAGAGCCCTTGATTGTTGAGGACTCCAGTTGAAATTCCTTACAAAAGTATAGTGTTTCCAAATCTATTAAAAAATTCTTTTATAAACAAAATAAGTAATGAAGTAAACCAACAGAATGTGTTTAGTCTTAAGCAGGAACAAGCATTAATAAAGCAAACAGAAGTTAATAGAAACCAAAATATTTAAGATAATTGGAAAAGCCTTTTTCTAGATTGAAGTTTACACTTTAATCCTTGGAATATATATTTCATCAAATATAACCTAAATAATTTTACTGTATTTGATGAAAACTATTTCAAGAATCAAAGTGTTAAATGTTTAAATGGAAAAAGGCTTTTTCAATTTTACAAAGTTTGGTGTTTTTAACCACTGTTTTGGTGCTTTAAACCAAATAACCTGAATCCAGCCTATAGTTTGTCTCAGCTAAGAGCTCCTCCCGCCACAAAGTCTGAGGCCGTCTGGTGCTATGGAAACAAGAAAGGTGCATTTTAGGGAGGGTAGCTGCACTCTAGGACTAACACAATAGAGCGAAGACAGAGATTCCCTTTCTCTCGTCAACCCGAAACCACTCCAAAACAGTCAACAGGCACCCCTACTAGTCATACCTCGTTATCATAGTCGCCACCACAGGTCCAAACGTATGTCTGGGGGAGTTCTTATTTTAGACAAACTATAATAGGGTTCTTTCAGACATTTACAAGCAATTGCTGAACCTTTGTATTACTTAGGACACTTTTTTTATCTTTTATACCTCATGATGAATACTTTTCATTTAAAAATATCATCTTTCTTCTAAATCATCCCTCTAAAATATCCAGAGTAGACCCCTTACACGTCTAAAAATAAAATGTGTCTCAAGTTAATCTACTCATTAATAAGTAAAAATGTTATCTCATAGATAAAATTAATATCATTCACGAGGAAGAACTATGCTAGTTCAAACAATAGAATTCAGCATATTTATGCATAATACAGTTTTATGATAATCATTCAAAAAGTATTTTAAAATGTACAAAAAATTGAAAAGAAGCTAATTTTTCCCTTTTTTAAACAATTTAAAGTTGATCTAAACACAACAAATAATTTATATAGATAATATTTAAATTTCACATAATTTAAAGTTAATATTTAAATTTTACAATTTTTTTTGGTGTTTTAAGTTTTAAAGATTATCTTGCACACGTAAATGATTCAAATTAGCACTAATTAAGTAATTTATTTTCACTTACTGGCCACCAATATCATTACTCAATGTTCCTAATATCTCACAAGGAATATTAAACTCAGAAAATATGGTGCTGTTGTTTGATGCATTCCCTCCACGTTGCCAAACATGTGATAAGCACCTGCAATAGAAAATTATTTGAACTGCTAAATTTTAAAGCATGTATAATAACTGGAAAAAAATGGAATGGTCAAATCTAGCACTAACCAAAGCAGCTATAATTCAAATATTTCTAAATCATACATTTAAAGAAAAAAAAATTTAATTACTGTTTTTAAAATTTTTAGAATAAAATCAATTAAAGTATGAAGTTCACTGTATACTACAATAGTTCACATAAACTTTCATAATAGTTATCATTTAGCATGTATTTTTTTCGGAGGGGGGGGGAGTAATCTTTTAGGTATTAAGCATATTTAAGATTTTTAAAATTGATCTAGATTTAGAAGTTTGGTTTGTAAGCAATTGGCACAAAACTGTCTGGAATCCTGCTAGTTGTAACTTTAGGTTAATTTCACAAGTTTACTTACAAAATGCTATTAAATTATTTAAAACATTACTAAATAATGGTATACTATTAAATTTGAGCTTTTATTTAGCTCTACATTTTGTTAACTCATCATAAGGAAATACACGCAAGAAAATATTTGTAAGATGCAGAAAGCCCCCAAAAATGTGAAAGCCCAAGGCCAGGGATTATTTCAAGACTTACGATAAATCAAGCACTGAAATTGGTAAGTAATACTGTGAATTTCATCCTATAAAGTTCTATAGGTAATAGATATAAAAACGTTAGAAAATACGTTATCTAAATAATACCTCTAAGTGCTTTTGAATTATTTACTTGTAAGCCAAAAAAAAAGAAGCAATAAACATAACAATAACATCAAAACAATAACATAAAAAACACAAAGGTCAAATAAATAATAAAAAGTTCATGCATTAAAATTAATGTAAATGCAAAATCCACAACCAATGTTTGTGCATTGTAATCGGTTATACCTTTGATCACTATCCTCTTCGGGATAAGATTTACATATCATAACCATATCTAAACAACACAATCCAACACATAAAACTTTTTTATCTTGACCTGACATTTATATGAAAAGTTAAAACTAATAAATAATGAATAGGAAAAGTATAACTAATAAAAACTAGACTTAAATTTTAAGAAAGAAAGAAAAATTATGGTTAAAATTAGGGAGTTAATTGATAATAAAGTTGCGGACCATGGTTCAAGTCCATAAGTCAAGAGCCCGTCAACCCAAACGATTCACTTGATTGTTGGTAAACAGAAAGCACCAAATATTTCACGATCGTTCCTCTTTTGAAACTAATAAACTGATTCAACCATCAAGTTACTCTGCGTTACGATTAAGTCGTGTTTAGTGATCATCAAATATTTTAAACTGAATAAACTGTTTAAGCTGAGCAACTGACTCAAAATTTTCCGCATAATTTTCAAGAACTGAAACTTATTTTAGTGCTGCCATCTATCAGCTTTATCTAAAACGAAATAGTAAGTTCATAAAGAAATGGGGGTAGGAAATTTAAAATTATTTGCGATAATTTTTTTTCTATTTTAGAAAGAAAAATGTAAATAGAAGAAAAAATATAAACAAATAAATAAGGATGAACGAAAATAGAAAAATTTTGATGGGTGACTGCAAAATACTGAGCAGACTGCAAAGTATTAAAAATTATAAATTTGTAATTCTGTGTAATTTATTTACCAACTAGTTCACTTTTCTATAATAGGTTAAACTACTGCATTCAGTTACTACAATGGGTGCATTCAGTTACTACTACTTTATTTTTCTGCTAAATACACCAATATCTTAATTCGTTCACTCACTTGATTCAATCATATGTAGAGACACGACTATTCAGTCCAAATGGAATGTGATATCAATATAAAAACGCACGTACTAAAGATGCCTATTTTAGCCAGAACATAGCCATAATAGCATCTTTTTGGACCCTGGTCGTGAATAAACAATTTTTTTTTAAAATTTAATTCTCATTTTCTAAATAGTATCAATGCTGAGTCAAATAGTATTTCACAAAAACGTTCGTTCCAACTCGATTTCACCAATTTCGAAGACTTTCAGAAATTTTTCCACGAATGAAGACAAAAAAAATCAAACACATTGGGCATGCTAAATTAATATTTAGCGAGGAAAAAATAAAAACGCTATCGAAATCTGGCAAATTGCAATGAAGGAAGGCGAGTGTTTAGAACATCAAAACATGTCTGCTTGCAGGCCCAAGTAGCACATAATATTATATAACATCAGAAAATCGGTCAAATCTAACGTTATCTTGCACAACTTCTAATATTAGAAAGATACAAAAGATCGCTGTTTGCTCAGCCTTATATAATATTAGATTCTATACAAACTAATATTATCTAGCGTTCGACATAATATTATTTTACATTAGTTTTGATGCTATATAATATTAGATTTTGAATTTTCTGATATTATTTTGCTTAGCTTTTTATTTTTTTGGAGCAAGCAAGAGGAAGATATGGATAGTAGTAGAATAATTCGGCGATATAATTTTACTTAATTTTCTGTATTGTTGTGAAGCAATAAAACATAGAACAATAGTTTTATGTCATTCCATGCATTATTTACTTAGCAATACAGAAATACTAAATAAAATTATATTAGCGAATTCTGCTACCTTCCATTTTTCTCCTCCTTACTCCAAAGTATATCTTATGTTCAGCTGATTTTTT